GTGGGGCTGCGCCCGCGGCTGCCTCGCTCCAGTCCCGGCTGGGACTCACCCCACCAGTCCCGGAGACCCAAACGCGGCGTACACGCGGGAAGCAGGAGAGGAACCCGAGTTAGAGCTTAGGTAGGGAGGCAAGGGTGGGCGGGGGGCGACGGTCTGGTGTAGGAGATTCTTTCCCGCCCCGGAGACGGCTGTCTCGGAGCCCTGTCCCCTCCCCAGAGGATGCAAATTCCAGAGGGAGGTGAGTTTCCCAAAGGACCCACCCCGGGGGACCGAGCCACCCCGGCTCCTTCAGCCACGACTCGGGGGACAGCACCACCTGGGAGCCTCTGGAGAGCGTCAGGAGTGGGCAAGGTAGTGAAAGTGGGACGGGGATGGGTGGGGAAACGTTTGGCTAGCAGCTGGGCGCAGACAGGAGGCAAGAAAGGGAGCCTGGAGGCAGGAGGTAAGAAGAGGGGCCACGGGGGTCCCCAAGCCTTGGAAGAGCGTCCGGAGTTAGGCAAGCTGTCCCGAGCGGGGGGCGCAGGCTGGATTTGGGGGAACAGCACCCTCCACGCAGGGGTCTGGTGCTGGGCACCGTAGCTTAGGGTGGGTGAGTGCAGCCAGGACGGCGTGGGAAGAGGGGGGTCTGGAGAGCCAGACTCAGCGTCGGGGACTGTGACACCTCCCTGCGCCCTCCTAAAGGCTTTGGTGCCAGGTGGATCTCGGACAGTCCGAGTTCAGAGCCGGTGCGACCCGCGCTGGCCGCACCTTGGGAGGAGGGCAAGTTGGTACCAAGGACACAGCCCTTGGCATCCTCTAGCCCACCGCTGGGCAGAGCGGGGCAGCAGCGGACACTTTTTCCCTAACTCGGCACAATTGGCGCTGGGCTCAGAAGGCAGCCTCCCGCGCGTCCCGGGACCGCAAGGTGGCCGCGCGCCCGCGGGGCTACCAACACCGTGTGCTCAGCAAGAGAAATACCCACGTAACGGGACGGAAGGAAAGGCAGCCGGCCGCACAGCCCACTTCCCCGGAGTTTCTCCTAAGCACTCGGAGACAGGTGCCCGTGAATGGGACTGTGCCGGCACCCACCGGTCCCTGGTTCTTCCCCGGGACAAAAATTACTAGGATAGGCAAAAGGTGCATGTGTGCCTGCCCAGAGGGGAGCCCCCACTCCCCAACCCAGAGGGACCTCAGGGACCCCTGATTTGTGTGATTGGGGCTTTCGGGGAACCCAACAGAGGACCGAGCGTAAGACGCAGAGCTGCTCTCCCACCAGACCTTCCAAGGTTTTGTTTTTCCAGGTTCTGCCTCCTCTCCATAGCCCCCCAACCCCCTGCCACCTGCAGTCTGGTGACTTAGAGGGCTTCAAACCCT